TAAATTTTCAAGAAGACTTCTAGAGGATTGTTAATAAAAATGTATTCTAACTAACCTAAGTTCAAGTAAAAAAAATATGTATTCCAATTGACTGTGAGAAAAATGTATAGAATCGTCCTTTATGCCTGTAAATATACATTATTTTGTTAAATAGTGGACTTATTATTCATTTGAATTGTCTAAAAATGTGTTGACAAAATATGAGAGAAGATGAATGAAGCATTAGAAATATTAAGACCAAAGCATTTTGTCAGGCTACTGGAGGAAGTCAAAATCACAGAATCAGTTTTGACGAGGTATGCCTGTACACCAAAGTCTTCATTATGAAAGCAGCAGAGAGAGACCACACGGGACCCATTGTACATCCTCCCGAGGAATTGTCCTTCTAGGTCATCTTCCATCCTGTTCTTTCCAGGAAGGTGGACAGGTCACTAGGAGACATCTCCTTTATATTGGCAGGTGTATAAACAACAAAAAAACAAAATTATAAACCACACCCAGTCTCTTCTACGTATCTCTTTTCGATACAGTCTTCAGACTTCATTCTTTAATTCAAAATGGTCTGTGAATATTTCCAAAATGAGCTAGTTTCTAAGTGTATTGGAAAAAAAAACGAATGATGAACTCATGGCACCCAAAACTTTTCAAAGTTTGGTCTGTTTTTTTTGACAACTAAGCGCCACTTCAACTGGTAAGAAAGGTGAATATCGTCAGCTTCAAAAATATACCAAAATACATTCAAGTAAAGCACAAAACTTATTGCATAATATATTACTTTCACTTCAATGTCTACGGCATTCTCTGAAGAAATGTCTCGAATGCTTCACTACCATAGTACAAAGACACTAATCGTATAACTTACTATAGCACAATCTCTTCAGAAGAGTATTTTTTATCACAGTTGTTATAATTATGCACTCACACTTTCGTCTCGATTTCACTTTTGAGCAGCACAAAAGCCATCACCAGAATCTTCTAGGTTGTGAGAGGAATAAGGTACGTTGCTAGAGTAATCCACAATATAGAGACGTTGATACATGTCGAANAAAGAAGCTGCTGAACAGGAATAAATATGAAATGTTAGAGTATTATTAGTCATTATGTTTCGTTCTGTTGGGGCCTAACCCACATGTTATTTCTTATAAAATACATTTTTTGTAACAGCAAAGGTGCCTATTATTCTAAAGCACATAATACTAATATCAAAACATAGGATATATTTTTTTTCATAGCATAATGTGATTTAGAACTTTCTCTATGAAATCGTGAAATAATTCTCTTGACCTTTCATCAAAAGGTGCATTTTATAATTTGGTTTCGACTTTACCCCAACCTAACAAAAAACTGCGGTATTGTGGCTTAGTCACCTTTACCTCTGAGCCCCTCATTTCATGTACTTCTCACTCTTCTTAACGTGCGTTTCACCAAATGTCTTGGCATTTTAAGGAGACATACTTTATATCCTGGAGACGCCAACTTGGTTTGTGCAACGCGCGTCGAAAAAGTGTTGCAGGTCAGGTGTTTGGGAAAAATGTTTACACCAGAAGTTCCAGTTGTAGCTTTCATTTCAAATTCATACCTATTCAGTGAAAACTCTCACAGTAATAAAAACAAAGATCCTATCAAAATACAAAATTTAATTTGGTATAAAATGCTTTTTACAAAAAAATAAAAGAATATCAAAAAATTTGAGAGAATAAAAACATTGAGCGCACCACATGGCAAAATTCACAAACTCGTCATAGCCGGAGGCCTGGCGTAGGCCTTAGGAATGAACCCATACTTCCTGGTCTTCGGGGCGTAAGCCCACAACCAGCCATCCACCGTTTGATTATTGAGATCTGCGTAAATCCAATCTCCCCTTCGGACAGTCAAGTCATCGGGGGCTTGGGCTTTGTAATCGTAAAGCATCACAAGTTCTGTACCATGGAACCTAAGGTCCTCAGCGGCAGACGTTGTCAACGAGTGAGGGTTGGCCGGGTTGGGAAAGCTGCCAGCACCATTTTGATTCGAGGAGTTCAAGTGGCCTGAGGAGAGAATATTTGCATTCAAAACGTTCAAGGTTTGTAAGCTGGGAGAATCTTATTTTGGTCTCGTCATGAACACTGACCTTGTATCACATTATCAGCCGGATATACAAATCCAGAGGGGATGAAGCCTTCTTGTCCGTCACTGCGCACAATCCAGTACCAATCGGGGTCTTCTCTATTGAGAACTATAAGAAATACCAAATATTCAACACATATTGCAAGAGGAGTGAGTATTTTGAAGCAGTTCGGAACTAAAATTGTTGGATATGGTTTAGAGATCATCTTAGATATCTTGTTCCGAAACAAACACTGTTTCCACTAACGGGAAATGCAATACCCATCAAAGACGCGCGTCATCAACTAAATTGACGTCTTCAGGAGATGAAGAAAACAGTTTCTTCTCTCTCGAGGACGCGCATCTCACCAATCAAGTTGACGTCTTCAAGTGATGAAGAAAACCGTTTCTTCTCTCCTGAAGACGCCAACTTGGTTAGTGAAACACGCGTGAAGAGTGGTATTGCATTTCTGGTGATTAGAAAGAGTGCTTGTTCATGTATTCCAGAGATTCCAGTTTAACTTTTTACCTTGTTCCAATCGAGGGACATGAGGATAGGAGAGGTACACATTTTCCATGATAATTTTTGAAACAATTGTTACTCAAAATTCTAAATGCTCACCACAGATATGTTATGTTTGTTTTTAAGTTACCAAACGTTATGAAAAAAAAATAGGAGGAGCTTTGGAAGAGGTATATATATGTAAGTATCTTATATCATGTCTCCAGGATCTGCTTAAGAATTTTGTGTAGCAGCTGTTTGGATTGTTTAAATATGATCTACTATCAGTAAAAATATTAATTACACCAAGCCATAATATTCTCAGACCAGATGGTGAGTAAAACAAGGATCTTTTTGAATAACTCTAGGGTATTTATTTATTTATATACACTAGAATATCTCTAATCCGGCACTATTGAAAACCAGAGGGTGTCGGATTATTGGAATGTTGGGATTACTGAATTATAAAGAAAAAATCATAACAAACAAAATAGTGTCGTGTTTCCGTTCACTTGACATTTTTAACTATACACTATTCTCACTTCAAAACAATAGGAAAATACATGTGCACATGATAAGTTGTGAGGTTAGACCATAGTCGAGTTTACGACTCCAACGGACCTCCCTGTAAATTTAGTTCAGGAGCGAGTCTATAGAGGAGATGGTTGTCGAGTTAACGACTTCAACTGACCTCCCTGTAAATTTAGTTCAGGAGCGAGTCTGCAGAGGAGATGGATGTCGAGTTTGAGAGCTGCGGCGTACGCAGAATCTGTCTCAGGTGGAGGAACTAACCCCCCATGAGCAAGTTAGCAAACGTTTGCGCTCAAGTGAGGTTTCACCAAAACCAGAGGCAAAAAAGCCCTGCACGGCTGAATCTAAGGCATCGTGAGTTGTAGCTGACGTGCAAAAACCCTCATATGGAAGGGTTGTCGTGGGTATCAAGGTGGGAATCTTGTAACTTGACTATCCGACTACCTCATTAACAGAGCATATGCTTAGTGCCTGCCCCGCTGGGGACCGAATCAGATCTATAAAGTTCGGCAGAGCCGTACTCATACCATCTGACCTGAAATACCACTCACCATACTAACTTATCGGCTTCGTTAAGAAGCTGGGTTTGTTTGGCCGAGTGAGAATAGGTGTGAGCCACAATAAACCCTTGCGGGTTGCGGTGAAGGGTCGAATAGACCCACTCACTTTGGACCTAACCTAACCTAGACAATAGTAAAAATCAACCAGTAAGTACACTGTCACTACTTTCATTTATAAATTCACAAAGTTTTCGGTGACCTCGAAACGAAGTGCGGAGCCAATTTCGTCCTTTTACCATAGCCGTGCGCTCATATAAAAACGAAATTTAAGGTTATTATAGAATATTTTATGGTAGATTACTTATAAACAACTACAAAAACTAAAAACAATTATAACAACAGCGAATAAACTAAACACAATATCAATTTCCGACCGTTTATTATAACTAATCCGATGTCTGTGGTACCGTCAAATCCTTCGATACTACAGCAATGAACGCATTGGATCAGAATCGCATCCTAAGAGCAGTTGAAGGTCCCCGGCAACTCGGGCGGATCACGTGGTAAGAGGGCCTACTGGTTGGTTAGACTGTGATTAGACCTCTAGACGACGACGTCGCTACAGAGCGCATAGGGATAGAGTGGCTAGGGAGGCGCGGGCGGAGGGTGCCGAATTATTGGACGTACCGGTCTATTGAGGTGCCGGATAAGTAAGATTCTACTGTAATTGTTTTTCTGGTCCAGACAACATACATATGCCCATCAGACATTCATTTTGATATATTATGGATTTTCATAAGAACGTCTCACTACGTCAAAATCCTACTACGTCAAAATATCACTACGCCGAAAGCTATCGTCAGCGTGACATCAGCGGAAGGCTGACGTCACCAAAATACGAAAGTTGTCGAATAATTCGACGTAATGAGATTTCGACGTAGTGATACTCCTTCAGTCAAATTATTCTTACGTCGAATTCCCGTCATGTAAAATGAATTTGAATAATATCCTTCATATTTTGGTGACGTCAGGGGAAGGGATCGACGTACTGAGATTTCGGCGTAGTGGTAAACATCCACTTTCATAAGATATCCTTCAAAGATGCTCTTGAAAATTTTCATTTCATTTCATTTTTATTCGTTTCAAAAAAATGTTGCATTTTATAGACACGTCCAAACCTTAACTCAAATAACTAAAGATAGATGATAGAATAATTTGTAATTCTGGGAATATAATCGAGGTTGAAAATAATTGTGATATGGGATATTGAAGAATAAAATCATATATGATCTACATAAAAGATAAAATACATTTTAAGGGATGACTAAATATGAATATATAAAATGTAAAACGTATGAATTATATATAAAACGTAAATGTATAAAATATACATATGAAGTATGACCGCTCTAGATTGAATGATTCCGTACAGTCCATCTCGTCTTGTGTCTGTAAATTTTTTGCTGGAAAAATCCTCACTTGTTTACTTTGTAGTAAATGTTCAAGAGGTAGCGAAAACTTATGTGAACTTCTGGAACTCCATCTAGCTTTTCCTAGTATGACTAATAACCAGTCCGTGCTAAGCTTATTGTTAAATCATCTGAAAATGGAATTTTTAACAGGTGATGATCGACTGTATTGCCAAACATACGCCAAACTAACTGACTGTTATAAGGAAACAAGTATAGCTGAGGCACCAGTCAATCTAATAATAACACTGATGATCTTCAAACAAGACTCAACCTCTGACGGAAGCAAGAAACTCTGTGGAAGGTTCGAAATAGATGAACATTTCAATCTAGCAGATCACTATCATAATATTCATGCAGTCATTCTTCACTGTGGTTCTGGCGTTGAATTTGGTCATTATTACGCCTTGGTCAAAGACGAAACGAACTGGTTTAAGTTTGACGATAGTCATGTCACGAAGTGTTCTGGCGATGCATTCAATCTATTTGAGCCTCTGGAGACACCCTACATTTTGTTATAAGAGAGAGCACATTCGTAGATCAAGATCTTCAGATGATGTGGTGCTGCAGGTTTTTCCGGGTTTTCCTGCAGTTGAAAAAGCAAATGCGCCAGTGGAATCAATGAAGTCGCCCCGGAGCACCAATTAATTTTTATTGTTGTTTTTATTTTTATCGTTGTTTTAATAAATATTTAATCACTGAAGTATGATGTATAAAATGTAAAAAAATATGTAATGCGAAATGCATAGGATGACAAATGAATGAAATATATATAAATATATGAATATATACCGTAACAATAAAATGGGAATTTATATTCAATCACTGTGATTGGACAAATGCTGATTTTCATCTATCAACTGAGTAAATTCTTGGAAGTTGTAAATACAGTTACTAGATAAGATACATTTCAATTTGGATTTGAATTTTTTTGGAGGTAAATCTCGAAATTGAGATAGTAAGTATCAATTTTGGTGGTTTTATGAAGTCTTGTTTTTGGTCCAACTATTCTTGAAATAGCCTATGAAAGTGATCAATTTCAAGTGACACGTATTAAGGAAAAAAAGGGAATTTCCTAAACAAAAAATTACAGTTATTCTTATAAAAGAAAGCATATTAGCAATGTACAAGTAATCGAAAAATCAAAAGGTAAAGAAAAAAGTTCGACATTTTTATGGATGTCTATATTTGATATCTATTTCAGGCTTATGGACATCCAGTACATTTCTGGGATATTCCCACCTGAAATGGATGTGAATGGGATATCTGTAGGATATCCACCAATGATTAAAATTGTCAAAATTCAACTTTTCACAGCAAAATTTGAAGGTGACATATGTTTTTGAGATCCTCCAGATATATTTATGGAAATTTTGAAAATCATATTGAATACAGGTGTTGTGACTCCTCTAACAACTTTTTTGGACTATTATCTGCATATACTTTAGTTCAATTTCTTTCAGTTTGCCAGTATTTAACAAAATAAACAGGTCAAAAATAATATTTCAAAACACTAAAAGAGAAATCCTATCAGGTATCTCAAAGGTGCGGGGTTTCCTCCTTTTCATAACAGAGGGCGTATGCCTCTCTACTCACAGGCGATAATATTGGATCATTCAGTAAAACTAATTGTGTTGATATGTCATATTGAATATTTAGAAACGACATGATTGTCATAATAAACCAAAACGTGTCTTAGTCTTACTTTGAAGCTATTCAAACTCCATATTAGACATTTTCAATCACCGGGCAGGTGTTTTTCATAGACGAACAACAGGTTTTTTTGAGATTATTTTTGTGAAGTTGGAGGCCAGTTGAAGAAAGTAACAAGCAAGTAAATTCTTATAATTCATTCCTAAGTATTTCACGGCTTACCTGTTACAAACTCTCCTCTTTCAACAGAAACGTCATTTTCATCTCTAGCGATAAAAGTGTATAGTACGATATATCTGCCGGAAGGATCCTTTGAAAAAGGTATCATGTCTGGCTCAGAATGTATACTAATAGGCGAAGCTGCCTCTGTATCGTCCTTTTTACCCAGGGAATCACAGTCACTAGTGTCCACAACAACCGCATCACTAAAATAAGAAAACAAAGTATTTACATTTAAAATGAACTGACAACCTGATGATTCAACAAAAAATCTTACCAATCATTGTTGGTATCTAAACTCTCACCGGATGCTACATGCCCTTCCCTTGGCAGTTTTTTCTTTATGGCAAGTTCCGCCAAATGATTATTATAAGGAGTGCAATAGGAGTATGGTATGAAACCTTCCTGTCTCGTATCCAGTCCTATCACATACACCCAATCATTTTCTCTATATAAAATATTAACAATCTGAAAATAAAAGCAACAAAAATTATTTTTAGTGTGACTTGTGGGAAAGAGGCAATCAGCTGAATGTTTGTCTAATATGAACAATGCCCTCTTTTGAAGAACAAAAAAAAGACTCTAGGCAAGTTTAAGTCATACTCTCTTCGAAGGAATCTCACATGCCAAGTAAAACTCTACCAATGAGCTCATCATATTCCACTACCCCAATAACCTCTTTTTCATGTTACATTTATGATGATATGCACAATAGTTTCAGGTGACGAATGAATTTTGATTGATTAGATTGATCAATTTCAACGACATTACTGTATTCCTATCGAAACTGAATTATATAAATTGAGTGTCAGTTATTGCATGAACTCCTCTTGGTTCAGAATCTAAATTCGTCATTGTTTTATTTCTCAATATATTTGATGGTATGTGACTTTCCGGCCCTCACCTGTCCTCGTTTCACCTCTAGTTCATCATCCACACAGGGGGTGAAATCATGCAGCACAACCATTTTGCTATCAGGAGATAATCCATGTTCTTTCTCAATGCCAACTCTGACAAGAGTTTCAATACTTGCAGAACCTGTAATTCTTCCCATTCCTGGTGTAACCCCATTATTGGATCTGGCAAGTTCTTTCTCCAAATCAACACTGGATGCTAAAATTAAGGCATTCAATAAAGGAACATGCTTCAGATGAATAATTAAATGAGTACTTACATTTTTTCTTTGTACCACGTCTGATGCGAACAGGGCATAAAAATGCCATTTTATGTATTGTTTACATACTTTTTTTACATTAACGTTATTCCTTGCACCTCATTTTTGCTCGATACGTTGACCTCGAATCAGAATCTTCATGTTACATACAGAAATAGTCAAGCTAAAGATGATTTTCAGCACACTGTTATCAAGCACTGAAAAATAATTGATTTCCGAATTGAGTTGATTCCTAAGCACATTCGGTTTTCGTTAAATAAAAAAGTGCAAATAAATGTAGTGACTTCTCACAAAACAACTCATAACAAACTTGTTTCTCAAGTCAAGTCTCTGGTCGCTGAGATTTGCTCCTTTGGGCTGCAAATTGCGGTGTCTAAGCTTCCGGCGCCGTTTCCGTTTTGGTACAAAATTTCAAATAGGTATTCGTCTTTCCACGCACGGTGAGAGGAATTATCAATGTGACGTTCAGTTTGAATGTTATTTATGTTTCACGTTTTTTAATCCACGTATACTGGATTAGAATCTATATACTTACCTAGCTACTTTTGTTATGCTGGACACGATGAAAATTTGGTGGTTTTAATCCATTTGAAATTAAAATCAATCAACAATTTTGAGCAGAAATGTTGTTATGTACCTATTTGAATGAAGTTCAATTGGAAAAGATTATTATTCACCAGATGTTAGGTGGCATAACCGTTCAAACATATAAAATTTAGAGCAGAAAAGACAAAAGTTGTAACAATCAAAATTGATATTGCAGAAAAAGTTTTCACAATTCCAAGAATTATCCAAATCATTTTTGAAAGCAATATTGGATGGAGCACAAACTATATGCTCAGGCAGATTGTCCCATCGGATGAACACATTACACATTTAATATTGACGACACAGTTTTAGAAATCTTTCTCGCACTATTTTGAATGGGTGTCCTCTCAGTCTTTCATTATTAATCCGTGAAGGATTTTGAATGTTTCAATAAGATCACCTCGTAAACGACGATCTGATAGTGATGTAAGATGTAGTACAAGTAATTCAAGGCGACGATTATATGTTAGGTAACGAATTTATGAACACAGCTTGGCAAGGTATTCAGTGACTTGGTGTTGCGCCTTTGGCGGGTTTGCTCAAGCTCATAAATGTCTTTGTCAAAGTACTATTTCAAACTGGCACAACATACTCGAGGATGAGTCTAATGTAAGGTTTAACCAACGTTCTCCTGGAAATGGAAAGTTTTGAATTAACGATTGATGAAAACTTGGGGAATGATAACATATTTTGGCCAATAATAGTATGAAGATTTCAAACTTTGAAATCACACATTGAAATTAAAAAAGACACGAGTTTAGTGTCAGAGTTTATGAATTGTCGTGAGGTTAATAACCAAAGTTTCACATTGGTCAAACTGGAAGAATATTTGAAGCACGCATAAAACAACACAGTAAGAGTTTTCAGAATGAAAAAATGAATTCAACGTCGATCCTTACAGATGGACACAAGTTCAATCATGAATTCAAAACCCTTCATTTGCAGAAAGAATATATGAAAATTAACCAATTTAGAAATATTCAATATTCAAAGAACGATCAACTAGATTATCCCTTTTAACCAGATAATTATTCTTAGAACCAGCAGAAAATTTGATGTAATTTATTGACTTTGTATTTACCTGCTTTTACTAGTAAATTCAGGATTACATCCAGTCTTTTCAAGTACTGAAATTTAGCCTAGAATTAATTATCTGATTTTTCCGAGAATAATAGCTAAAGTTATAAACCATGTCAGTAAGTTTTGACAGGGATTTTCATCAAGTATGTTATACATCTCATGGAAACAACCCCAAATCTTTAGTTACAACTGAAAATAATAATAATAATGTTCATGGAACTCACAAAATACAATACTATGGCCATCACAAGAATCAATACTTATCTTGGAACGAGCATTTATAATCACGAAAGCTTAAGAAACGTATGCGTGGTAACGGGAAATATGATTTTTAAAATTTCATGACAGGTAGAGAATCCATTGAAACACAAAGCAGAGTATTTTTGTTGTTTGAAATGAAACTTCTTCATAGAAGCGCATGACGAACATATACAAGAAATTATATCCCTAATATGGGAATGAAATTTGAATTTAACATTGAATGTAACATCTGAATTAAGCACTTCATCCACTTGTTTGACGGGAGTGATGTCAAAAAAATTGTTTATATTCAAGTCAACCGTAATAACTCAACCTCAATCGTAAAATAGTGAAAGTTCAGCTTGCAGTACATCTGTATCATTCTCATCCTCAATACTTTCAAAACTGAAGTCTTTGGCAAACAATAATAATTCAGAATGTTCAACAATCACTGAAATGTGTGAGAGCTATTTTCTGGGTTTTTTGGACGTGGCCTGAAAGTTTTCATGCCTGATGTTTCGTCTACTACTGCGGCAGGCCTTATGGTAACGTTGGATACACCGAGGACAACAACTCAAGCATCAACCTGGGCACTGTGACCGTTACCACATCGTCTTTGATGATGTCTGCCGCAGTAGTAGACGATTCGTTAGGCTATAAAACTTGCAGACTACGGCCAAAAAATCCGGAAATAGCTCTGACACAGTTATCTCCGGCTGGGTAAGTTTACATTCTTTAAAAAGTGAAATATTATTGATAAATGAGTTGAAGAAAAGCAGGAGGGGCGCTGTATGTCAGTCAAATATGGAGGCACCATGTCAGATGAGCATGCTGTTAAACTGGGCGTTCCTCAGGGCTCAGTTTAAGGACCATTATTATTCATTATATTTATCAATGATTTGCCTGAATATGTGAGGGACCGCCACATAACGATGTTTACAGATGACACCACTGTTACAGTCACTGGACATACTATGGACGACGTGGTAACCAAAATTATTATCATTATCGATGAATTCACTTCTTGGTGTGAACGCGACCGACTAGTCTTGAACACCTCAAAATCATTGACAATGAAATATTATAACAGAAATAATAATACTCAAGACGCAGTGGTCTCTATTGATGAAATCGATGTCACAAGAAGTAAAATGTTTAGGAACAATTGTGGATGAAGCCTTGAATTTGAACTCTCATATTGATGGTGTCTGCAAGAAACTCAATAAAGCATTTTTTGCAATAAAGCAGATGAAAAACTGTGTAGATCAGAAAAGTCTACTTAGCATCTATTATGCAATGGTTTTTTAACATATTTCCTTGAACATCATGTCTTGGGGTGCGGTTCGGAATTCAAGAGGGTGTTTATAGGACATAAACGTATTCTGAGATTAATTTTTGACATGGAATATCGTGAAAGTTGTAAACCAGTATTCATAAGAATGAAATTGCTATCTGTCCCAGCAGTGTATATTTTAAAATGTGTAGTTTTTATTAGAAAATATCTTACAACTCTCACAACTAATGGATCCTCTCACAATTTATACACCTCATGCTGATCACCCCTATATAATGGGATCATCCTGTATAATAATCTGCCAACTTCGATTAAAACTCTGAAATCCGAAAATGTGTTCTATAACCGTGTTAAATCCTTGGTCATTGAAAAGTGTTACTATAGTCGCCAGGAATAGCTAAACGATAATTTAATGTAGTTATTTTCTAAATAAGTCTTACTGCATTTATTACAAAATAGTACTTTTTCACTAGTGTCTGTTTTTAACGTTTTTAATGTATATGTTGTATGTATATATATGACTGACTGATCACCTTTGAAATTGGTATCCGAATAATTATTTAGCACAGGCGGATATCCTTTTTGATTAAAAAATTATTTATTGACTAATTGACCTTTTTGTTACAGTTTAATCGAGACAAACCACAACAGGTGCTAGTGTCTGAGATATAATTAGTTTTTATTGTATGTCTTGAATAACTTGCAAATCAGTTAGCCTTGCTCAGGTTCGATTTTTTCAGGCAAGGTCATAAAAGTTGACAAGGTCTCACAGTCACATTCGTAAAAAACCGCAAGATTTGTAAATAGGTATCGAACATTTCGAGGAATCATTCGCGAGAAATAAGTGTTTGGCTTCAGTAAATCTCTTGATGCGTTAAAATTCAATTGATGCATTTTTCAGTACATATTTAGCACTGCATAAAGATTCACTTGAACTGTATAGGATCATTTTTTCTGACTACCTATTTACAATGATATGAGAAATGTAACATTTATCGTAAACTTCACAAATTGAGTGTCCAACCTTTCTTCGATGTTCCAGACTATCAAGGTTGCAAATGATGTTCGCGTCTCCAATCAGGCAGATGGCTCTTTTCTGTATGGAATCCAGCAGCTTCAGAGTTTGCTTAAGAGTGGAGCTCCATATGAATAATACTCCAAATAAGGCTGATCTTAGCTTTATACAGCATCAAAAGTTGCTGGGGATTGTACAGTTTTCTGGTTCGAAACAGTATTCCAAGCTTTTGAGAAACAGTCTTTGCAATTCCAGCGACATGATTGTGCCGAGACATATTACAAATTAGTGTCCATTCTCCCCCAAAATGCTGTCCGTATGAATTTCGAGATAGAGTAATGTTCAACGGTTCTCCTCAGGAGAGGACGATGCTGGAGTTACGGAAAGCATGTACCAGCACGTAGATGAAAGCATCCTGGACCATCTAGATGTTGGAGAGATGTATACTCAACTCAGGAGGAGCTGTATCAACTCGACGTAAGGACCGAAAAAGAATGCATCTCCATAAGAATTTGCACCCCAAATCAACTGTTCCACTGTTGTTACTCCTCCGACAATAGAGAGGTCGTGGATTTTTCAGTTTGGAGTGTCTACATGACAGAATGGAAATGGATTGAGTCTGTAAAGTCGTCAGGAGTTCGGATACCCTTCTCTGCATGGTCCGTGACCATGGAAGAATCCAACCTCATACACAAATCATTAAAAATATTCTCGGACAGTCAAGCGGCGTTGGAAGCTCTTGGCTCCTACCGAGCAACGTCTAAATTGGTAGCAAATAACCAAAAACGACTCTTCTCGATATGAAGACTTAACAGATTATCTCTGGTCTGGATTCCTGGCCATACTGGCCTGGAAGGCAGTGAGGCTGCTGACTCCCTTGCAAAGGAGGGTGATACAAACAGCTTCATCGGACCAGAACCTGTCAATGGCATCACTTTAGGCTTTGTCAAACAAAGATTGAACACCTGAATGGCGAAAAGATTCATGGCCTTCTGGCAGAATCTTCCAGGATTGGCTCACTCCAAGGCGTTTATTTACCCTTCGAAGCTTGATACCAAACAATTGTTGAACTACAGTAGGGATAAACTACGATGTCTAACAGGCCTTTTTACTGGTCACTGTCAATTGAATCATCATATACAGAGACTCGGACTATCGGAAGACAGTGTG